TAAACTTTAAATGGATTTAGGTGAGCAGACAATATTTAGTCAACTACATCCAAATCACTTTCCTTTGTTTTTTAACCTACACGTTTTGTTTTGTTTGGAGCCGAGTCTTACTGTGTCACCCAGGATGGAGTGCAGTGTGGCATGATCTCAGCTCACTGCACCTGCCCCCAGGTTCAGGCAATTCTCGTGCCTCAGGCTCCTGAGTAGCTGGGATAACAGACGCACACCACCACGTCCAGCTAATTTTTGTTTGTTTTTTGTTTTGAGATAGCGTCTCATTCTGTCGCTGGAGTGCAGTGGCGTGAGCTCGGCTTACTGCAATCTCCACCTCCTGAGTTCAAGCGATTCTCCTGCCTCAGCCTCCCTAGTAGCCAGGATTATAGGCACCTGCTGCCACACCCAGCTAATTTTTTGTATTTTTAGTAGAGACGGGGTTTCATCATGTTGGCCAGGCTGGTCTCGAACTCCTGACCTCAGGTGATCCACCCACCTCGGCCTCCCAAAGTGCTGGGATTACAGGCGTGAGCCACCACGCCTGGCCTACTTTTTGTAGTTTTAGTAGAGACAAGGTTTCACCATGTTAGCCAGGCTGGTCTCAAACTCCTGACCTCAAATGATCCTCCTGCCTCAGTCTCCCAAAGTGTTGGGATTACAGGCCTGAGCCACTGCACCCGGCCTGAACCACTGCGCCCAACCCTACACATGTTTTTTTGTTGTGTTTTTGTTTTGTTTTCTGCTTCTTCACGTGTTTGAGTTTGCTTTGTATCCTTGCTTTGATGAGAACCCAGTTCAGGACAAATCTCAGTACCCCATTCCCTCTGGCTGCCCAAAGAAAAAGCTCTGGTGATGAGATTAAAAACTGTCTCCGACACAGGGAGTAAATATTCAGGGCAACTTGAATCTATGATCCTGGAGAAAATTTTTTTTTTTTTTTTGAGACGGAGTCTCGCTCTGTCGCCCAGGCTGGAGTGCAGTGGCTGGATCTTGGCTCACTGCAAGCTCCGCCTCCCGGGTTTACGCCATTCTCCTGCCTCAGCCTCCCGTGTAGCTGGGACTACAGGCGCCCGCTACCTCGCCCGGCTAGTTTTTTGTATTTTTTAGTAGAGACGGGGCTTCACTGTGTTAGCCAGGATGGTCTTGATCTCCTGACCTCGTGATCCGCCCGTCTCGGCCTCCCAAAGTGCTGGGATTACAGGCTTGAGCCACCGCGCCCGGCCGAAAATTTTTAAAATAAAATAAAACCTCTAGCAGAAAGCCTAGATCTGAGTAAGGAGTGGGGGGCCTTCCTTCTGATATCTGACCGAACAGACCCCCTGAGAAGTTCCTGCCTGGCTGTTTCTTTATACCATAAAGTCCCTTGACTGAGACCCTGTTTCATTTAAGAAGAGGCTGGTGGGCTGGGCCTGGTGGCTCACACGTGTAATCTCAGCACTAAAGTAGGCAGATTGCTTGAGCTCAGGAGTTTGAGACCAGTCTGGCTAACATGGCAAAACCTTGTCTCTACAAAAAAAAATACACCAAAAAAAATTATCTGGGTGGCCAGGCACGGTGACCCACGCCTGTAATCCCAGCACTTTGGAGGCCCAGATGGGTGGATCACCTTAGGTCAAGAGGTCGAGACCAGCCTGGTCAACATGATGAAACCCTGTCTTTAAAAATACAAAAAATTAGCTGGAGATGGTGACAGGTGCCTATAATCCTAGCTACTAGGGAGACTGAGGCAGGAGAATTGCTTGAACCCAGGAGGCAGAGGTTGCAGTGAGCCAAGATTGCGCCATTGCACTTCAGCCTGGGAAGTAAGAGCGAAACTCCATCTCGGGGGGGGGAAATATATATATATATATATATATCTGGGCGTGGTGGCGTGTTCCTGTAGTACCAGCAACTTGGGAAGTTAAGGTGGGAGAATCACTTGAGCCCAGGAGGTCGAGGCTGCAGTGAGCCATGATTGCACCACTGCACTCCAGCCTGGGTAACGGTGAGAATCTGATCTGTCTCAAAAAAAAAAAAAAGAGAGAGAGAGAGGCTGGTGACTAGTAAGGAATTAGGGAAGGATGGCAAAGACAAATTTGGATAGGGATTTGCCTTTGCCAAGGACAAATTAAAGTGAAAATAAAGTGTGTGGCTGGGCATGGTGGCTCAGGCCTGTAACCCCAGCACTTTGGGAGGGCGAGGCAGGTGGATCACCTGAGGTAAGGAGTTTGAGACCAGCCTGGCAAACATGGTGAAACCCCGTTTCTACTGAAAATACAAGAAGTTAGCCAAACATGGTGGCATGCGCCTGTAATCCTAGCTACTCGGGAGATTGAGGCAGGAGTATCGCTTGAACCCAGGAGGCAGAGGTTGCAGGGAGCCAAGATCGTGCCATTGCACTCCAGTTTGGGCAACAAGAGCGAAACTCTGTCTCAAAAAAAAAAAGAAAAAACCTCCAGCCAGACACAGTGGCATGTGCCTGTAGTCCCTGCTACTGTGGAAGCTGAGGCAGAAGGATTGCTTGAGCCCAGGAGTTTGGGACTGTAGCGCACTGTGATCACACCTGTGAAAAGCCACTGCAGCATAGTGAAACCCTGTCTCTTAAAATAAAAACTCTATTTTGTGTTTTTATATATGTCTATGTGTGTGTATATGTATGTGTTTCACATATATGATATGTAATTATATAAACTATATAATATAAATAATACTTTATATTTTATATATAAATAAGATTTTTATATATGCTTTTATTTATTTTTTTTTTTTTGAGACAGAATCTCGCTGTGTTGCCTAGGCTGGAGTACAGTGGCGCGATCTCGGCTCACTGCAACTGCTGCCTCCCGAGTTCAAGCTATTCTCCTGCCTCAGCCTCTGGAGTTGCTGGGATTACAGTCGCCTGCCACCATGCCTAGCTAATTTTTTTGTATTTTTAGTAGAGACGAGGTATCACCTGTTGGCCAGGCTGGTTTCGAACTCCTGACCTCATGATCCGCCTGCCTTGGCCTCCCAAAGTGCTGGGGTTACAGGCCTGAGCCACCACGCCCAGCCACACACTTTATTTTCACTTTAATTTGTCCTTGGCAAAGGCAAATCCCTATCCACCTGAGATTACAGGTGTGAACCACTGCACTCGGCCTATATATGCTTTTTTTTAAGAGACAGTCTTCTTGTGTTGGCCAGACTGGAGTGCAGTGGCTATTCACAGGCACGATTATAGCTTACTGCAGCCTTGAACTGCTGCCCTCAGCCAATCCTCTTGCCTAAGCCTCTTGAGTAGCTGAGACTACAGGCATGCATCTCCATGCCCAGCTCTATATGTGCTTTTTTTGTTGTTTTTTTTTGTTTGTTTTTTTTGTTGTTTTTTTTTTGAGACAGAGTCTTGCTCTGTCACCCAACCTGGAGTGCAGTGGCGCGATCTCAGCCCCCTACAACCTCTGCCTCCCAGATTCAAGTGATTCTCCTGCCTCAGCCTCCCAAGTAGCTGGGATTACAGGTGCTCCCCACCATGCCCAGCTAATTTTTGTATTTTTATTAGAGACAGGGTTTCACCCTGTTGTTGGCCAGCCTGGTCTCAAACTCCTGACCTCAAGTGATCTGCCTGCCTCAGTCTCCCAAAGTCCTGGGATTACAGGTGTGAGCCACTGCGCCCGGCCATGTGCCTTTTTTTAAGAGACTTGGTTTTGCCATGTTTCCCAGGCTGGTCTTGAACTCCTGGTTCAAGCGATCCTCAACTTCCCAAAATGCTGGGATTATAGGTGTGAGCCCCTGCGCCTAGCCTATATGTGCTTTTATTTTTTTTTTTTTTTTATTTTTTTTTGAGACGGAGTCTCGCTCTGTCGCCGGGCTGGAGTGCAGTGGCCGGATCTCAGCTCACTGCAAGCTCCGCCTCCCGGGTTCCCGCCATTCTCCTGCCTCAGCCTCCCGAGTAGCTGGGACCACAGGCGCCCGCCACCTCACCCGGCTAGTTTTTTGTATTTTTTAGTAGAGACGGGGTTTCACCGGTATTAGCCAGGATGGTCTCGATCTCCTGACCTCGTGATCCGCCCGTCTCGGCTGGGATTACAGGCTTACCCGGCCCGCCTTGTCTTTTTTTTTTTTTTTTTTTTTTTTTTTTTTTTTTTTTTTTTTTTTGAGACGGTCTCATGCTCTTCCAGGCTGGAGTGCAGTGGCGCGATCTCGCTCACTGCAAGCTCCCCTCCCGGTCCGCCATTCCTGCCTCAGCCTCCTGAGTACTGACTACAGCCCGCCACCGCGCCGGCAATTTTTGTATTTAGTAGACGGGGCACTGTTCGATCTCCGACCTGTGATCCCCCCTCGCCCCAAAGTGCTGGGATTACAGGCTTGAGCCACTGCGCCCGGCCTTGTGCTTTTAAACATACTTTTCCAGCACAATATTTTCTAATTTGGTGGTGGGGTTTTTTTTTTTTTTTTTTCAGATTTTGTGTATAAAGTGAGATTAACTATTTCAATATGTATAATTTAGATGCTCTCAAAATGTGACCATACGCTGGGTGTGGTGGCTGACACCTGTAATCCCAAACACTTTGGGAAGCAGAGGCAGGAGGATTGCTTAAAGCAAGGAGTTCAAGACCAGTGTAGACAATATAGGGAGACCTCGTCTCTACAAAAAAATTATATATACATATATATAATTTTTTTTTTTTTAATGTAGGCCATGGCCAGGCACAGTGGCTCACACCTGTAATCCCAGCACTTTGGGAGGCCGAGGCAGGCAAATCACTTTGAGGTCAGGAGTTCAAGACCAGCATGGCCAATATGGTGAAACCCTGTCCCTACTAAAAATACAAAAATTAGCTGGACGTGGTGGCACACCCCAGCAACTCAGGAAGCTGAGGCAGGAGAATTGCTGGAACCTAGGAGGTAAAGGTTGCAGTGAGCCGAGATCACACCACTGCACTCCAGCCTGGGTGGCAGAGTGAGACCCTGTCTGAAAAAACAAAAAAGTAACCACATAAAATATGCACATTTGAAAAATTAATCTTTTCTCTTTTTCTTGATTTTAGGTTCCTACTCATTCGTTTAAAAGAATTTTGTGGAGAATTTCTCAAGAAAAAACTTCATCTCTCAAATTGTGTGGCAATTCATAGCTTAGCCCACATGTACACCCTGAGCCAACTTGCTTTGAAGGCTGCTGATATGATACGGAGAAATTTCCACAAAGTGATTCAGGATGAAGAATTTTATACATTACCTTTCCATCTCATTAGAGACTGGCTTTCAGATTTGGAAATTACAGTTGATTCTGAAGAGGTTCTCTTTGAAACCGTTTTGAAATGGGTTCAGAGAAATGCTGAAGAGAGAGAGAGATACTTTGAAGAACTTTTTAAATTGCTCAGGTTGTCCCAGATGAAACCTACCTACCTTACTCGACATGTCAAACCAGAGAGGCTGGTAGCCAATAATGAAGTTTGTGTCAAGTTGGTGGCTGACGCAGTGGAGAGACATGCTCTGAGAGCTGAGAATATACAATCGGGCACATGCCAGCACCCCACTTCTCATGTCTCACTATTGCCTCGTTATGGGCAAAACATGGATGTGATCATGGTTATTGGAGGTGTGTCAGAAGGAGGGGACTATTTAAGTGAATGTGTGGGGTATTTTGTTGATGAGGACAGATGGGTAAACCTGCCACATATTCATAATCACCTCGATGGACATGCTGTTGCAGTAACAGAATCCTACGTGTATGTTGCTGGATCAATGGAGCCAGGGTTTGCTAAAACTGTTGAAAGGTATAACCCAAATTTGAATACTTGGGAACATGTTTGTAGTCTGATGACAAGAAAGCATTCTTTTGGACTAACAGAAGTCAAAGGGAAGCTCTATAGCATTGGAGGACATGGCAACTTTAGTCCTGGTTTTAAAGATGTGACTGTTTATAATCCTGAGCTTGATAAATGGCACAACTTGGAATCGGCACCAAAGATTCTTCGAGATGTCAAAGCACTAGCCATTGAAGACCGGTTTGTATACATTGCCGCCCGCACTCCTGTAGACCGGGACACTGAAGATGGATTAAAGGCTGTAATTACTTGCTATGATACAGAGACTCGACAGTGGCAAGATGTGGAATCTTTGCCCCTTATTGACAATTACTGCTTTTTCCAAATGTCTGTGGTCAATTCAAACTTTTATCAGACAGCATCATGTTGTCCCAAGAGTTATTGTTTAGAAAACGAAGAAGCAGTAAGAAAAATTGCCAGCCAAGTGTCTGATGAGATCCTTGAAAGCTTGCCTCCAGAAGTTCTAAGCATTGAAGGAGCAGCCATTTGCTATTACAAAGATGATGTCTTCATTATAGGAGGCTGGAAAAACAGTGATGATATTGATAAACAGTATCGGAAAGAAGCCTACCGATACTGTGCTGAGAGGAAGAGGTGGATGCTTCTTCCTCCTATGCCACAACCTCGTTGTAGAGCCACTGCTTGTCACGTGCGGATCCCATACCGGTACTTGCATGGCACACAGAGGTATCCTATGCCTCAAAACCTGATGTGGCAGAAGGACCGCATCAGACAGATGCAAGAGATACATCGTCACGCCCTGAACATGCGGCGAGTGCCAAGCTCTCAGATAGAATGCTAGGTTCTCTCAAGCGTGCCAATTAAAACTGTTATACCCGTTTCGTGAAGCTGAAGATATCCAGGCTGTTACTTGAAAAAGTATGTCGATAACTTATTTTCTACGTGAACTGATTATTGCCCCATATAAAGGAAGTAGAGTTAAAAACTAAAGAATGGGAGACTCAGTTCAATACATGGTCATTTTGTTAGCTTGCAATTTTTGTCTTTGGTTTGTTTGTTTGTGCTAGCTAAGTAAGATCTTACTAAGGACAAGTGGGAAAATCAGGTGTAGTTGCTTAGCTGTTTTCCTGCCAATTGAGTTATAACTCCTTTGTCTTGGGGACTTATGTTTTGAACATGCTTTAAGCACCAATTTTATTTGCACATTTACTTTGATATTCTTTTTGATTTTTTATGAAATGATTGGTTTTGGCAAGATCTGACTTCTGCATTGAGCCCTCATCTGCAGGAGGCATGTGCAATAGTGAGACTGAAATTTGGATGAAAACACTCAATATTTCAGCAAGATAATTTGAGAATGTTTGCATTGATATTTTCTTATGTTTATCTAGAAGTGCCACTTTCATTCCTAGAAGATGTGACTGATGAGAAATTTTTGATTGGCTCATGCATTTTTTGAATATTTTTCATTAGCAACTGTTTATAGACTAAGCCTTCAATCTGAGCTGAGGGTAGATGGCAAAAGTATAGATCTTTAGCTAATTGACTAAATACAGAGCAAGTTACATGTGTGAATTTTGTTTTCTCTAAGAAGAAAAGTATTCGTGTAGACTGAGAAATTAAAGGCATTTAAAATTTTAAACATTTTTTTCAGGAGTTGCAGGATTACTTGAGGATATGTTAATGAGTGTAAATAATGCCTATGACAATCGACACTCAATGCCTTCCATTTTAATTTTTGCTCTAATGCATATTATATAAAATCATTATTCCTTTGGGTTTTTTTTTTGGTTTTTTTTGGTTTTTTTTGAGACAGAGGCTTGCTCTTGTTGCCCAGGCTGGAGTGCAGTGGTGCAATCTCGGCTCACTGCAACCTCTGCCTGCCGGGTTCCAGTGATTCTCTTGCCTCAGCATCCCGAGTAGCTGGGATTACAAGTACCCACCACCACGCCCGGCTAATTTTTGTACTTTTAGTAGAGACGGGGTTTAACCATGTTGGTCAGGCTGGTCTTGAACTCCTGACCTCAGGTGATCCGCCCACCTCAGCCTCCCAAAGTGCTGGGATTACAGGCGTGAGCCACCGCGCCCAACCCATTATTCCTTTGTACAAGAAACTTTTTTTTTTCCCAAAATGGGAAGTCATAATTTAAGGAAATGTTGCTAAAGAGAAGCCTTATTATTTCTGATTGTTATGTTTTATCCAGTTGCCCTACACTTTTAAACTTTGCCTGAGCCTAGGATACCAAATTTGGGTACGTAATTTTGGCTTTTAAAGGTTTATGGGCTGGGCACGGTGGCTCATGACTGTAATCCCAGCACTTTGTGGGAGGCTGAGGTGGGCAGATTTTGAGCCCAAGAGTTCAAGACCAGCCTGGGAAACATAGCAACACCCTGTCTCTACAAAAAGTACAAAAATTAGCTGAGTGTGGTAGCTGGCACGTGCCTGTAGTCCTTCCTACTTGAGGCCAAGGTGGGAGGATCAGCAGAGCCTGGGGAGGTTGAGGGTGAAGTGAGCTATGATCATGCCCCCACTACCCTGGGTGACAGAAACACAGTGTCTGAAATAAAAATTAAAAAGATCACTGAAGCTATCTTTTATTTAGTTTTATACATTGTTCTAATTATCTTATGTCTCCTGAGCTTTATAAAAGTTAGCACTCAAGTTGACTCTTTTTTTTGGGGGGGTGGGGGGATGGGGTCTCACTTTGTCACCCAGGTTGGACTGCAGTGGTACGATCTTGGCTCACTACAACCTCCACCTCCTGGACACAAGCCATCCTCCCATCTCAGCCTACTGAGTAGCTGGGACTACAGGCATGCGCCACCATGCCCAGCTAATTTTTTTTTGTATTTTTGGTAGAGACAGGGTTTCGTTATGTTGCCGAGGCTGGTCTCCAACCCCTGGGCTCAGGAGATCCACCCGTGTCAGCCTCCCAAGGTGCTGGGATTACAGGTGTGATCCACCACACCTGGCCTCAAATTAACTTTTTTTTTTTCTTTTTTTTGAAACAGAGTCTCGCTTTGTCACTCAGGCTGGAGTGGCGCAATCTCAGCTCACTGCAACCTCCACCTCCCGCGCTCATGCGATTCTCCTGCCTCAGCCTCCTGAGTAGCTGGGAATGCAGGCGCGTGCCACCACGCCCGGCTAATTTTTGTATTTTTAATAGAGATGGGGTCGCACCATGTTAGTTAGGCTGGTTTCGAACTCCTGACCTCGTGATCCTCCCACCTCAGCCTCCCAAAGCGCTGGGATTACAGGCGTGAGCCACCATGCCTGGCCCTCAAATTGACTTTAATGCTCGGTTAGTATAAAGGATTCCTAACAGCTTACAATGTGGTTTTCTTGTTTTTGTTGTTGTTGTTTTGTTTTGTTTTTTTTTTAAGATATGAGGTCTCACCTTATTGGCCAGGCTGGTCTCAAGCTCCTTTCCTCAAGCACCTCTCCCACCTTGGCCTCCCAAAGAGCCACCTGCCCAATGATTTATCCTGTTTCTTAAGGACTGTCTTTACCTTCTTAGACATTTTGGAATACCATTCTAGAAGTCAAATTCCAAGTGCAGTTATTTTTTTTTTTTCCCCTAGTCCATTATAGTTAATCTTCTTGTTAGTGATCAAATACCAAAAGAGAAAAGCACAACCAGAAATTTTGGCTATTTGCTGCAAGACTAATAGTTTTAGGTCTTGGGCTCTATACTAAGAACTTGAAATTTTTAAATTAGTGTCCCTGCCTAGGTGAAAAGTTTTTAATAAATGTGTTGAAAATCAACTTTAAATCCATTTAATTTAGACTGGAGTGGGCGTGAGAAACTGCAAGTCTATTTCTACATATAAGGATATATTATTTTACCCCACTACTACCTTTTTCTCAATTTCCATTTCTTTGTAGTTATTTTAATAAAAGCCATTTGGATTCTGAGAAGCACTAATTCTTAGTTGTGAGAGGTCTATGCATGTAAGACAGAATCATTAAATGAAGCTCATTAAATGGAGTTCTCATTTCTCTCCAATAGACTATGCTAACAAACTTCCTTTTGTTGATTGTGTTTAAATAATTTAGTATCTCACTACAGTAACAGTTTTTCACTGGAAGGATGTGATGTGTTTTTTGTTTTTTTGTTCTCAGAGCTGTCTTCTGAGGTAATCATTACCAAGTCATTTGTGGGGTTGTGTTTTTTTCACATGATGTGACAGAAATTATAACTCATAAGATTTAGGCATAATCTGGTTTTAAAACCTTGATTGAAACTGTTGTTTTTTAACTTAGCAGGCAGCCTAGGCCACGGCTGAAAAGAAGGGGTAAGTCCTTCATTGCATGATGATGTGTGCAGGTTTTCCTGAATTTCTAATTTTTATATTTGAATTCACATGTGTAATTTCACATCAATAACTTGTGTTTCTGAAATATCCTAACTAACTTGTTAATGAGGAAAGAAACCAGATTTGCTTAAATCTGTTCAAGGCTGACATTCTGAAATTCTTAACTGGAAATAACTTCCCAGAGTATTTGGAAAGGTTCTAATTACAAGGATTAGGCCTAAAATAGCTCCTTGGGAAAGAAGTTTCCTTGTTGATGAGAAAACTTAAAAGATTCTTTTTGGTAATGTAAGCAGTTAAAAATATGACTTTAGCAAGACAGCTTAATGCGTATTCAAGCAAACCTTTGTTTTGTTGCTTTCCTTTTGTTTGTAGAAGAGAGAGGAAGTCATTATACCAAAAAGTAATAGTTACATAACTTTGAGTGAGGCTACTTACATCTTTTTTTTTTTTTTTTTTGGAGACGGAGTCTCGCTCTGTCGCCCAAGCTGGAGTGCAGTGGCGCGATCCTGGCTCACTGCAAGCTCCACCTCCTGGGTTCACGCCATTCTCCTGCCTCAGCCTCCCGAGTAGCTGGAACTACAGGCGCCCACCACCGCGCCCGGCTCATTTTTTGTATTTTTTTAGTAGAGACGGGGTTTCACCATGGTCTCGATCTCCTGCCCTTGTGATCCGCCCGCCTCGGCCTCCCAAAGTGCTGGGATTACAGGCGTGAGCCACCGCGCCCGGCCTACTTACATCTTAGAATGGGTATCCTTGAACTATATCTACCGCACCATGGCTTAAAAAAAAAATCAGTGGTATATATTGAGAATGTCAGTCATGAGCTTAGTGTTTAAGTAACACATCCCACTTACAGTTGTTTGCATGATTAGTCTTGTGTATCATGATATTCAACTTTGCGTTTGCTGTGCCAGTTCAAAAATAACTTTTTTGCTAAAAACTCTTAAAATTCATGACATAAGTTTTGTTTTGATCACCTGGTTTTATATAGTATTTCTGGGACCAAAAAATTTAAATATACCTTTTTAATATAGAACAGAAGTTTGAAGCTGGGAAGATAGTGTTTATGGAAGATTTGTGTGTTTTTGTTTTTTTAAACCCGTCAGGCTGCTGGTAAGGCAGTTTCTAGGGCTAACTTTTCCTCCTTACCTCTTGACTAGTGTAGCATGTGGTATGTTTAAAATACTTCATTTTCTGCTTTGTAATTCTAATATCAACACTACACTGTATGTAGACAGGTGAGCTGAATGGTATGTTTTAGTTATTTGGTCTAATCAAGCATAACTAAAGGGACTTCTTTTTTGGTACTTTTCTCAAATTAAGTTTAAATATAGTATACTGGCCACATTTCATGTCTTTGAAAGTTTACATTACTGTAAACCAAGTACTCTGTCTACACCAGAGGGTGCTTTAACTATAAAATATTTGAGAAACAATTCAGTCTCTCCTGAACTCTCAAACATTTTGGCACAGTTCATCACTCCAGTTTGTTACTTTCTTGAGAATAGTCCTTTTTTGTTTTTGTTATTATAACGTATGTTCTGGTCATTGGAAACAGAACAGCTCATAGTTGAGTGATGTAATATAATAACAGTAATATAACCTAGTAGTCATTTTGCTTCAAGGAATTTAATTAGATAGCAAAATCACTGCTGTTTATTACATTTGTAGGGCTTTTTGTCTTACTCAGTGACCATCACTACGAATGTCTTACATTGAAGCACAGACTGCAGAGCACTTGTTAACTTAATCCTCCTGCATAATGCACTCGTGAAAAGTAGTGCTTGCTAGGTGTTTGAAGATTTTATGATCCATGTGCTTGGGCTCGTTGAGTTATTTGTAAAATAAACATTTAGTTTGAGTTGATGCAGTGAGTTTTTTGGGCTAGTAGTATCCAGGTCCCTACTCTACTGAAAATGTAATCTTCACTATTTCCCTTTAAGTCAGAGGAGATGTAGTAGTTAGAACACCTTGAGACATTACATTGTAAAATAGCTCATTTTATGTTCCTGAAGCTATCTTGTTCTCTGTTAAAGCTACTAATTGTCTCAGTGTAAGTTTTAAATAAATATATTTCTTTAAAGCTGGTTTGTACTGTGTGACTTTTTTTTTCTTCTTTATGCACTGTTGGATATAATTGCCTTCTTCCCTCCCTCCTACTCCCTCATTCATCCAACCATTGGCTCTCTTAAGTTGAACATTTTCCAGTACTCTTCAAAGTTTAAACACTGCATTTATTTAAAAAAAAGAATTAATTCTTATTGCTTAGACTTTTTATTAGCTAAATGAAGAGGCTCATACAGGTAGGGTACTTGTTGAAGCAGAATATTTTACTTCATCTCGCAGTGCTAATCCTGGGAAGTTGTCCCGTCTAGCTGCATATTCCCCAACATTGGCCAGCCCTGGTACTACACAGCAGCTCAGAGCACTGCGGTATATGCTCATGTCGTGAGCATCATACCACTCATCGGTCTTTTCGTCATAGCACTCAACATTAAAGGTGGTGGTAAAACCATTAAAGCCACCCACCACGAACAAGAGGTCGTCCACCACCTCGATGCCAAAATTGCTACGAGGGTTAAACATAGTGGGGATTGTGCGCCAAGTGTTAGCCACAGGGCTGTAGGCTTCTGCACTCCTAAGTCGATTAGCTCCGTCAAAGCCACCTACCTGTGGATAGCAAAAGAAACACGGTTGACTGCTAACTATTGATTCTGTTCACTGAGGAAGCCCTCGTTGGGGGTACCAGTGATTTCATAACTCCCTCTTCCATTATCTTCCATGAAAAAAAGCTTTTCAAATACCAACAGTAGCATAAACCCATTTACTAATACAAATTCTAGGGGTAATGTGTTTTTTCTTTGTAGTAGTAAACTTACTGCATATACATGTTCTCCATAAGCAATCACGCCTATTCCACTCCTCCTGCTTCTCATGGGTGCTATGACTGTCCACTGATTACTTTCAGTGTTGTACACTTCCGCTGTAAACAGGCACTCGTTTCCATTAAACCCACCACATATGTAGACCTGTGTGAAGAGTTCCAAGATTATTAAAATTCCCACTCTAGGGAGTAGAAAGAAAGGATATGTGTGTGGTGGTAGTGGGCACTTAATTCCAGTCTGTACAATCTGAATTTCTTTTTTTCATATGTGCATGCATTGCTTTTTATTTATTTATTTTTAGAGACAGAGTCTTGCTCTGTCACCCAGGCTGGAGTGCAGTTGCGCCCTCTCCGCTCACTCCGCCACTCAGGTTCTAACAATTCTCCTGCCTCAGCATCCGGAGTAGCTGGGACTACAGGCGCACACTGCCACACCCTGCTAATTTTTTGTATTTCAGTAGAGACGAGGTTTCCACCTTGTTGCCCAGGCTGGTCCTGAACTCCTGAGTTCAGGCAGTCCACCCCCATCGACTTCCCAAAGTGCTAGGGTTACAGGCATGATACACTGCCGGCCTATTTTTTTTTTTTTTTTGAGACGGAGTCTGGCTCTGTCGCCCGGGCTGGAATGCAGTGGCCGGATCTCAGCTCACTGCAAGCTCCGCCCTCCGGGTTTACGCCATTCTCCTGCCTCAGCCTCCCGAGTAGCTGGGACTACAGGCGCCCGCCGCCTCGCCCGGCTAGTTTTTTGTATTTTTTAGTAGAGACGGGGTTTCACCGTGTTCGCCAGGATGGTCTCGATCTCCTGACCTAGTGATCCGCCTGTCTCGGCCTCCCAAAGTGCTGGGATTACAGGCTTGAGCCACCGCGCCCGGCCTGCTGGCCTATTTTTATTTTTTGAGATGGAGTCTCGCTCTGTCGCCTGGGCTGGAGTGCAGTGGAGCTATCTCGGCTCACTGCAAACTCTGCCTCCTGAGTAGCTGGAATTACAGATGCGTGCCACCACACCTGGCTAATTTTTGTATTTTTACTGGAGAATACCATGTTGGCCAGGCTGGTCTCAAACTCCTGACCTGAAGTGATCTGCCCACTTTGGCCTCCCAAAGTGCTGAGATTACAAACACGAGACACCAGCCCTGGCCACATTACTACTTTTTTTTTTTTTTTTTTTTGAGAGGGAGTCTTGCTCTGTCATCCAGGCTGGGGTGCAGTGGTGCGATCTCAACGCACTGCAACCTCCACCCACTGCAGCCTCCGCCTCCCGGGTTCAAGTGATTCTCCTGCCTCAGCCTCCTGAATAGCTGGGACTACAGGCGCCTGCCACCATGCCCAGCTAATTCTTTGTATTTTTAGTAGAGACAGGGTTTCACCATGTTGGCCAGGATGGTCTTGACTTCCTGACCTTGTGATCTGCCCGCCTCGACTTTCCAAAGTGCTGGGATTACAGGCGTGAGCCACGAGCCCAGCCTGCATTACTTTTTTTTTTCTTTTTTTGAGATGGAGTCTTGCACTGTCACCCGGGCTGGAGTGCAATGGTGCCATCTCAGCTCATTGCAATCCTCTGCCTCCTGGGTTCAAGCGATTCTCCTCCCTCAGCCTCCTGAGTAGCTGGGACTACAGGTGCCCGCCACCAGGCCCGGCTAATTTTTTGTATTTTTAGTAGAGACAGGCTTTCACTATGTTGGCCAGGCTGGTCTCGAACTCCTGACCTAGTGATCAGGAGCCTTAGCCTCCCAAAGTGCTAGGATTACAGGCATGAGCCACCGCGCCCGGCCTCGCATTACTTTTTAATAAGCAAAATAAAAGACAGTTGCAACTAGTCACCTTGTCAATTGAAGAAAGAATGAGTACTCCAAGTGAATACTGCCACTTCGTCTTCCATCCACCCCAAAAAAGAGCAGTATCATTTCTTGGCTTGTACTTTGTATCCACATCTTCCCCTCCCACCCTGGTCCTTTACCTTCCCATAGAGTGTTGTGGCGCTTGCATCACTCCTCTGTTCGTGCATGGGGGCGATGAGTGTCCATTGATTGGTCTCTGGCTCATAACGTTCAGCAGTGTTTAGACGCACATAGCCATCAAATCCTCCCATGGCATAAATAAAATTGCTGAGGACTGTCACACTGACATAGCAACGTCTGGAGTGCATCGGGGCCACCTGATGCCAAGTTTTCTTGACTGGGTCAAAACGCTTAACACTATTGAAATAGTCTACACTATCAAACCCCCCAATGATATACACATAGCCTTTCAAATAGGCTGCCCCATGGTAGGCACGGGGACTCTCTTCCTCACAAGTAACGTTCACCCATCTGTCTGCCCGAGCGTCATATGCCTCAATAGCATTGGTGGGGCTCCCACCACTCCAGCCACCAATTGCAAAGAGGATGGCATAGGGCAAGCGGGGTCTGGTGAGTGGGTTGGTAAAATCAGAATTAGAGGGTCCGTTCATGTTGAGGTCATACATGGCCTTTAGGGCATTAATGATGACTGGTTTGCATTCCTCACTGTCTTTGACATAGTCATTCATCTTAACATTGTTCATGAAGTACTCAGCATGCATTAGGGCCAGGCGAACCTAAGAAGCAAACGCAGAAAGTCATTCAGGTGATGTGAGGGTGCCAGGAGATCCCACATCCTTAACCCCCATGTTACAATCTGCCTTTGAATTGCTGGAAATATTTTGGTTTGTTTTTGAAATGTATAAGTCACAGTTTAAATAGTCAATTTTGAGGCTCACACCATAATCCCAGCACTTTGGGAGGCCGAGGCAGGCGAATCACTTGAGGCCAGGAGTTTGAGACCAGCCTGGCAACATAGCAAGACCGTCTCTACTAAAAATACAAAAATTGGGGCCAGGTGAGGTGGCTCACGGCCGTAATCCCAGCACTTTGGGAGGCCAAGACGGGCGGGTCACCTGAGGTCAGGAGTTCTAGACCAGCCTTGCCAACATGGCAAAACTCCATCTCTACTAAAAATACAAAAATTAGCTGAGCATGGCGGCACGTTCCTGTAATCCCAACTACTCGGGGAGCTGAGGCAAGAGAATCGCTTGAACCAGGGAGGCAGAGGTTGCAGTGAGCCAAGATCGCCCCACTGCACTCCAGCCTGGGCCACAGAGTGAGACTCCATCTCAAAAAAAAAAAAAAAAAATCAGTCGGGGCGCAGTGGCTCACACCTGTAATCCCAGCACTTTGGGAGGCCGAGGTGGGCAGATAACTTGAGGTCAGGCATTTGAGACCAGCCTGGCCAACATGGTGAAACCTCTGTCTCTACTAAAAATACAAAAATTAGCTGGGCGTGGTGGCAGGCACCTATAATCCCAGCTACTCAGGAGGCTGAGGCGGGAGACTCGCTTGAACTCGGGAGGTGGAGGTTGCAGTGAGCCGAGATCGCATTACCACACTCCAGCCTGGGCTAGACTCCATCTCAAAAAAAAGAAGAAAAAAAAATTAGCCAGGCATGGTGCCGCATGCCTATAGTCCCAGCTACTCTCGAGGCTAAGGCGTGAGAATTGCTTGAACCCAGGAGGTGGAGGTTGCAGTGAGCTGTGATCACACCACAGCACTCCAGCCTGGGTGACAGAGTGAGACTCTGTCTCAAAATAAATAGTCGTCAGCTGGGCGCAGTGGCTCACGCCTGTAGTCCCAACACTTTGGGAGGCTGAGGCGGGCAGATCATGAGGTCAGGAGATCAAGACCATCCTGGCTAATACGGTGAAACCCTGTCTCTACTAAAGATACAAAAAGTTAGCCGGGTGTGGTGGCAGGCATCTGTAGTCCCAGCTACTGGGGAGGCTGAGGCAGGAGAATGGCGTGGCGTGAACCCGGGAGGCAGAGGTTGCAGTAAGCCGAGATCGCATCACTGCACTCTAGCCTGGGCGACAGTGAGACTCCTTCTCAAAAATAAATAAATAAATAGTCATTTTGGGAAGGTGGTATATACATTTGGAAGCTGAGAATAAGCTAGATAGAAGGCACCTCAAGTGGCCACAGAGCAATCCCATTCCTTGGCCAATGGTCAGTACCATTAGACCAGGAAAAACCATGGTAATTGTTCAGTAATTGAGTATGTCTGTATATGTAAAATAATGCTGATTAGCACCAACTGACAACAATTGTGTGCAATACTCATGATTTGTTTTTCTGGTTTTTTTTTTTTTTTTTTTTTTTTTTTTTGAGACGGAGTCTCACGCTGTTGCCCAGGC